GGCATAACTGCCCCCCCTCGCTGCAGAGAGAGGTGGGTCCTTGCAGCCAGCGGCCAGCTCAGTGCAAAATCTGAGCGGCACCGGGGGGCTGTAGATTTGACCTCCGCGGAGCTATCTGAGGTTAATCCCAGGTGTTGCCCTTGACTTGGGAGGCAGCATGGCCTAATGAATAGAGCACCAGCCTGGATTTAGCAGACCTGGGTGCTATTCCGGGCTCTGCTGCTGGGTGGCCGTGGGCCCCTCTCTGTGCCTCGGTTTCCCCATCTCTACAAAGGGGGATAACGATGCTGATGTCCTTTGTCAATGGCTTTCGGGTATTATTATTTGACACACCAAGGTAAAGACCCCCGGTGCGTTGGGGCCCCAGGGACACAAGCAGGCTTATGTCTCCATGTACAAACCCATCTTTCCGCCGCGAGGACCCAGCGCTAACCCACCCGGCTCAACGGCTGGGTGGCCGCTCGGCTTCCCACTGGCTTGGCTCGAGCTTCAGTGAACCGGGGACCAGTTTAAGCTCCAAAGAATAAAAGCCTCCCACTGGAGGCCTGCCCCAGTTGAACTAACCCACTACAGAGGCGTGCACGGACCAGGCGTGCACCCCACAGCATCTCCTGGGCTCACCTGATGCGTCCCTCCTCCAGCACCCTGAGCCGCGAGTCCCTACTCAGCACCTCCACAATAGCCTCCTGCTCTTCCTCCGTCAGGAAGCTCAGGTCCAGCAGCGCGTCCGTGTCTATGTCCTGGGCCATGGTGCCCAGGGAGCAGACTGGTACTGCCCAGGGCAGAGCAGCGCTTCCCCGGCGGGGCTCTCTTCCCGACACACAGCGAGTCCAGGAACCAGCCCCGAGGTCCCTCTGTCCCAGGCGCCTTCACCCCGTCACTGCCCACCGCAGAACCAGAGCGATGACGGGCAGCCGTCCGCTAGAGCCATTCTGCCACTCTGCCAGGGCCCAAAGGTAGCACGGGGCGCCCAGCGCAGGGGCGGGGAAGTAGGCAGCAGCCCTCAGCTCCGGTCCGCCCCACTCCGTGGGCCTGCCAGCAGGTCATGCGCCATCTCGACCACCTGCGGAGACAAGGCCAGAAGAGTTGAGGACAACCCCAGATCCCCTCTTGATGCAGGAGCGTGCGGGGAAGGAAAGGGCCTGAGGCCCGGCCACCACCTCCCGAACGGGGCTCGGCTTCTGAGGGACCCTGGAGGCAGAAGCGGGCAAACCCAGCAGTCAGACACGCTCAGTCCGCGTCTCCCATGCACCCGTGGCTGGGGTGGGCACGTGCTAACTCCCACAGCCGGCTAACACCATCCTCCTTTCGCTCGGCTGGAGCTGCAGGGTGTGTCTGCGGCCTCCGGCTCAGGTACAGACCCTGGTGTCCCTGCCCCCAGCATTGCTCAGCTGCAGCTTCTCCCTTGCCCCCGCCCCAGCACACGGCCCCCCATCTCCCGTCCACTAAATCAGTCTCCAGGACCCGCTGCTGGCGGCAGGTCGATAACCACGTAGGAGCCCTTGATGGTCTCGTGGCAGCATGCCAGGCGATGCCAATCAGTAACCTCCCCCCGCCCCCCCACAGGGAAAGCGAGGCACGAGTTGCCCAGGCAGCGCCAGCACTGGGATTAGGGTGACCAGATGTCCCGATTTTATAGGGTCAGTCCCGATTTTTGGGTCTTTTTCTTATATAGGCTCCTATTACCCCCCACCCCCTGTCCCGATTTTTCACACTTGCTGTCTGGTCACCCCAGCTGGGCTCAGCCCACAGACGCTGGGGACTCCCCTCGCAAGGGCTCGCCGAGCATGGTGCGGTCAGTCGAAGCCAAGGACGCCCTGACCTTTGCCAGGCTCACCAGCCCGGCCCCGCGGGGGCAGAAGGGCACTTCCGGCCTGGCCTTCTGACCCCCTGCAGGCAGATGACCCCCCTCCTGGGGATGGAAGAGCCTCTGTTAGCTTCTTAACCATCACCTCCAGGGCAGATCTCACAGCAGCAAACAGAGTCCTTCCTGCCTGATGCAACGCCTCCCCCGCCTGCCCCCCACCCCCACACACAGGGCTTGCTTCAGCAAACCAGCAACTTCAACTGCCTGCAGCAAACGAGACATCCGGGATTGTCGTAACCGTCCAGCTCCTCTGGCGGCCCAGCAGGAGGCAACGGGGCGGGCGAATCGGCCGCAAGGTGGAAAGTGCAACCATTCCAGCCCCTGCCTCTTCCAGCAGGAGGCGCTGTCAGGAATGGGATCAAGGTGCTGGCTATTTTGGGAGTCTGGCAAAGCAAGAGTGTGGCAGCCCCTGGTCTCCCAGCGGCGATGGACTGTCCAGCCGTCTGCGGCTAGGACGAGGGCTGCCACAAAGTCAGATCTGAAGGGAGGAATAATAATAAAACGTTTGGAATTTCTCCTCCCCCTTCCAGGCTAAGATCTCAATGCACCTCAGCCATCGGTTAGCAGAGCCTCGCCGGCGGTGGGTCTTATTGCAGAGGGGGGAAACTGAGGCACAGAACGGGGCAACAGTTTGCCCTAGAGCAGGAGTGGCAGAGCCAAGAACAGAACCTAGATCTCCTGGGTCACTCCCTGGGTCCCCGCAGCGCCGGTATCACGCAGCTCTCTCCGGACATTCGCAATAGAGAGGATTCAACACAGCACTGACGCGCACTGGGCTGGAGTCAGGCCTGGAGGAAGGGGCTGCAATTCCCACCCGTGTCAGTAGGAGTCGCCCCAGCTTGTCCATGGGTTTTATGTGGCCCAAACGGTAAAACCAAGAATCAGCCCAAGTAGCACCCTGGAGCCCTGGCTAGCCACATAGGTGAGAGATCCAAGCTCCAGGCGACCCAATCAGCCCATTCCTGGGTCCCCACTAAATCCACAAGCCAGACGCCACCCAGGGGCTCCCGTCCCTGCCTCTGGGCCAGTCCCCCTCGCCGCCGGCCGTCTGTGTTTGCCCAGGGTGTTTGCTCAGAGCCAGCTCTGCCCATGTCAGGGCTGCGCCCTGCGGGGTGATGGCCCGGAGAGTGCCAGTCATCCCCGGGTTTTTCCAGGGGGCAGCAGGAAGGGGAACCTTTCCTGGAGCATTAAAGTGTCTCACTGTATCTTTAAGGGCTGGTGCATTCCCCGGTTGCAAGGGCGCATGGTTCGGCTGGGGCTTCCCCCTTGGGGGCCAAAGGGGCATTCAGTCCCCATGGCGCCTCTGCCAAGACCACCCACATAGGAGCTAGTCAGTGCCAGGTGCAACGGTGGTTTCTGGGATGTGGCCAACTAGCCAGCAGGGACTGACTGAGACCCCCCAAACTCATCTCACACAGAGCGCCAAGAGCCAAGCCCTTACTTTGGCCTAGCAGGCAGCGAGACGCTATCTCCTGGGCTGCGGACGCGCTTGGCTCTTGCCACACAGCCTGCGAGCGGCACAGACCTGTCCCTGCAATTTGCATTGAGAAAGAGTGACATGACAGGATAGAGGGCGGTTGCAACAGAGGCAGCCCGTGGGGGCGAAGGGGCATCGCCCAGTCTGCTGGGTGCCATGGAGCGGAGCGATGAGGAAACAAGATTGCAGGAAAGGGGCTGCAAGAGAACCAGGCTGCGAGTTTGCCCTTGCCAGCGGCCCGTCCTCTGCTCACCCCGCATGGCCTAGTGGACTGAGCACGGGGCTAGGAGCCAGAAACCCTGGGTTCTTTGCCCAGCTCCATCCCCCACTTGTTGCGTGACCCTTCCCCTCTCTGTCGGGGATCGCCGTGAGGGCGGATTAGCTGTGCTGGGAGCAGCTTGGAGCTGCAGCCCCCAGAGAAAACCAGCTAATCGAGGGGCACCGAGAATGGCTTCTGGCAGCTGGTGGGGCAGAGCTAAGCAGGGCGTAGGGGAGCCGGCCCGGGGGCCAATCAGAGGGGTGGCTTGCTCCGAGGACTCCAGCTGGCTGATGAGAGCTGCCAATCAGTGCCCCTGGCGTCTAGGGTTGGGGGCAGCGAGCCCCGGCTGGCTGCACTGGCACAGGCAGTGTAAGCCTGGACCCCAGAGTGGAGGTGGAGGCCAGTTGTGGGCAGGCAGTGTGAGGCCCATGGCAGGCTGGCAATGCCCACACTGGGGGGTTGCACCAGTCAGACTGGGCTCTGTGCCATCCCCGGTCCCGAACAGGCCGGGATTTAACAAGGCAGCCAGCGGGGGAGGGAGATTGGGACCAATGCAGCACCCCTCCCAGAAGGAAAACATTTGCAGAGTCAAAGGAGCAACCCTTGTCACTCAGAGAGTGCCAGGCCCGCATGGGGACGGGTGGCCCGTGGCACCGCCAGGGCACTGAAATGCGCCAATGCCAGCACCACAGCGAGCCCCCGGACAACTTACTCTGGGCAAGGACAGCTCCCCCTCCTCTGGCCTGTGGGGGTCGGGCACTGAGCCCGTAGGTAGGGAGGAGCAGGGCAGGAATCCAGTCCAAACCAGGAATCCAGTGCGGGATTTGCCTTCCACTGTCCCAGGAGAGCAGCCCAGGGCCCAGTGCCAGGCAGGGAGGTGCAGCCTGGGCTGGTTCACCTGGAGGGGGCAGGACTGGGGAGCTGGCATTTCCCCCAGGAGCTGTGTGTGGCCCACACGGGGGTGGGGAGCAGGGACCACTGGGCAGCCCCAGCATCGCCAGCGGGTCCATGCGGCCCACGGCCAGCGCCCTCCCTCCCCCCATGCCCCCACACTGCTTGCGTGGGGGTGGACAAGGAAAGCAGGAAGCCAGCAGCAGGTCCCAGCCTGCCACCCCCACCCCCTGCAGGCCCGGGCTGGATGGCACCGGGAAGCGGGCGTGCCAGCTCCACCCTCCCTCCAGTGGTGGGGCAGGAGCAGGGCAGGGGAGAGGCCCAACACCCCCTCCAGCCCCGCTGCCAGGCCGAGGGTCCCCCATGGCCAGACCTGAGGCCTCCCTCTCAGAGGGTCATATCCCCCCAGCTCCAGGGCAGAGACCTGGCTTTGATTCCCCTGCCGTGCACCCCTGCCCTCCAGGGCTAGCCAGCCCCTGGAGTCCCTCCCAGCCCCCGGGGGTTGGGGGGCATTAGAAGCAGCAGATTTTGGAGGCCTCAAGCCACAACCCGTCACTGCCCCGTCTCCGAGCAACAGTGTAGGGACCTGGTGCCCGCGCTGCCCCCGGGATGAGCCCCAGGGAGGGCTGGGGGCCCTGGGCTCCATGGGCCTCTCGCAGTGGGGAGTCTCCCCTCAGCTCTACACAGGTCCCCACTCCCCCGGGCCTCGGGGCTGGGCTACTCCCCCGGGGAATGGTCCACGGAGCCCCCCACAGAACAGGGGCCCGTCTCCACATCCCCTCGACACACACAGGCCCTGCTCACAGCACGCAGCCCCTGGCCTCCCCTCGCACACCCCCTGGCCCCAGACGCACAAGCACCCACTCCCCATCCCCTTCCGCTACCCCTCGCCCCTCGCTCTGCCCCTCCTCCCCGCCGGCGGATGCTCCGGGCCCGAAGGATTCCGGGTTATGTGGTGCCCCAGGGAGCTGCCGTCCGAGACAGAAGTCAGGGGAGAGGATGGGTGCCCCCTGCATAGAGATCCTGGCACGCGCTGGGACAGGTGAAAGCAAAGGCGACTGCAGAGGAGAAGCGTGGCTGACTCCTGGCCCAGCCCACTGTGGGACAGGATGCCCACGGGGCTGGCTCAGTCCTACCCAGACAGAGAAGTTGAGGTCTCTGAGAAGAGACTGAACAAACCAAGGCCTTGCCTGCGCTCTCTGGCCGTCCGGGATTTCATGGCACATCTAAAGAGGATGGGGAGGCGTGGGCCAGCGTGCCCTGCTCCCCCACCCCAGAGGTGGCTGCATTTCAGCAGCGAATGAAGCAGTTGGGGCCGGAGCTGGGGAGGCCCAGGGCACCTGGAGCACCTTCTGGAGGAGGTTCCCGCTGTCCTGTTCATTCCACGCTGCTCTCTGCCTCCGTGGGCTGCAAGCCGGGCTCCACCGCAGGCAGCATCCTGTTTACTGCCTGCTGCAAACAAAGCCCACGCGTCTCTCCTCCAGAGAGGCCGCCCGCCGCACCAGGAATCAAAATAGAGGCTGAGGTCTGACCGTCCTGCTAGAGATGCTCTCGCTGCGGTTCTGCTGCCGTGCCCGGCTGGGACACCGGTGGGCGGCACACACACACAGCGGGTCTGGGGGTGGGGGAAGCCAGCCCTGTTTGTTTATGAAAGCAACTCTGTCTAGTGCCCCAAATAAAACCGGCTGAACCAGGGAGCGCCAGCTCTCCAGCAGCATACACGTACACTCACGCCCTTGGCCCCAGCGCCACGCACAGACACCCTAGGCAAACCCAGCGCACGCCCCTTCAGTGCCATGCAAACCCGCTCCCATCCCTCCCGAGCGCTGCCCCACGAGCTGAAACACAAACCGCACCCAAAGCGCTTCCCAGGCTTTGAACCACTCTGGGCCCTACACCAGGCTCTGTCCGTGCGTCAGCACTGCAATGCGGCCACCTCTGGGGTGAAACGCGGCAGCTGTTTCACAGCACACACCACCACTAGGTGCACAGAGATAGGCACATCCTTGCTTTCCATCCAGTTCTCTGGGTCTTTGTTTTCCGCCCTGACCACTCGCCATAGCAGGAGTGGGCCCGTGGTTTCCGATCCCAGCCAGACAGCACCAACAGATGGCAGCTACGCCGACTCCCGTACAAATCCAGTTCCCACAGAAGTGGAGTGTTTGGGCCCAGTAAGCGCTCCCACCCCCCAGTGACTATGGATCCACACCCCGGGAGAGCGTCACACCTCCTGCTGACCAGCCCAGGGGCTGGGGCTCCAGGTAACCTAGCACACGGCAGTGGCACGGCCAGTGCTCCAGGCAGGAAGGAGGAAGATGGGGTGGGACCCCCTGCCGTGTTGCAGAGCAGCGGGGCCGTCCCTGGAGCCAGCTCCCCCCTACACACACCCCACAGATTTCCCAAGAGACCAGCCAGGCATTCGTGTCTGAACAGGACCCAGGAGAGGAAATATCTGGCACGGTGAGGTCAGCTCAAAGCACTGCCTCCCCCTACCAACCAGCCACCCCATGGGGACCAGGGGTTCCCCCTCTGCAGGGAAGGGGGGAGGTACAAGGCCTGCAGGGCATGCAGGAGGGGGTGGCTGCATCGTACCCCTGGAGGATCAGGCTCCTTGCGCCCCCCCAAACCTGGCAACAGGTGGAGAGCGCAGGAGGCGGCGTTACCTGTCCAGGTGGGCGCCTCCGCTGGAGGGGAGAGGAGGCAGCCAGGTGAGCGAGGTCCTTGCAGGCACCTCTCCAGGGGCCCTGAGCCTCCTCTGGAGGAGCAGAAGTTTGCTCTCTTCCGTCACCCCCACCCCTGCTGTGTTTGCAAAGCTACTCAGCAGCTGCCTCGGCAGGAGACCTAAGGCTGAGTCAACCGCAGAGGGGAGGAAACACCTACCCACAGAGCCGAGAGGAAACTAGGGCCTGGAGCAAGAGCCGCCCGCCGGACCGGACTGGGGACACGCGGGGGTGGCACAGCCTGAGAGCCCAGCCATGCACCCTGCCAAATCTCTGCAACCCAGAGAGACCGGGCTGGACCAGGAGCTCATTGGGGCAGGGTCATGGCCACCTCTGCACAGCAGCCAGCACAAGGGGGCCTGATCCTGACGGGGGGCTGGGTGCCAGCACCATACAGAGACCCCCCCCATCCCTTCCCTTCTGAATCGCTGCCCATCCTCCCCTCCAGGCCAGGCCCCTGGGGGTGCACCCAGTAGCTGGCTGGGCCTGAAGCCGGGGGAAGGAGTAACCCAGCAGCCAGCGTCCTCGCTGCTCCACTGCCCCCGGATAGGGCACAGCTGACCCCCCGCCCTTCCCCAGGGAGGCCTTTGCCATCCCCGCGTGTGGGTGGGGGGTAGCTATGAGCCAGCCTCAGCTCCGTTCCACAGGCCATGCCTGCCGGAGCGTCGCTGGCGTGAGTCCCCTCCACACGCAGCCGGCCACGGTGCCCCTGGCCCGCTGCTCTCTCCCTCTCCGGCTAGAGGGGAACACAGCCCCACCGGTGTCTGCAGCCAGGTCCTTTGCCCCATCGGCACACCCCGGGGCGCCCGGGCTGACCGTGGTTGAGGGCTTCAGGAGGAGAGTTCTGCCCACCCGGGGCAGGTGGCTTTGGGGCCCTTCGAGAGCCGCAGAACTGAAGACCGTGGCTCCTGTCTCACTGTTTGGAAGGCGAGTATCCCGGTCCCATGGCAGGGGTCAGGATCCAGAATCCCCTGACCCCAGCAGTCAGCACCTCTGTCCAGGGCCGGATTAACTCTCTTGTGGGCCCCTGTCCAAGGGGGTTCGGGCTCTGGGAGGGAGTTTGGGTGCGGGAGGGGGTGCGGGCGCTGGGCTGTGGCAGGGGGAGGAGGTGCAGAAGGGGGTCGGGGGATCGGCCCTTACCTTGGACGGCTCCTGAAACTGACCAGCACACCCTCTGGCAGCGGCTGTTAGGAGGGGGGGTCAGGGGAGGTCTCTGTGGCGTGCCGCTGCCCGCAGGCACTGCCCCCGCAGCTCCCATTAGCCGCAGTTCCTGGCCAATGGGAGCTGCGGACTCGGCGCTCAGGGCAGGGGCAGCGTGTGGAGACACACACACCCCCGCCCCCAGGGACGTGCCGGCCGTTTCCGGGACTGGTGCGGAGCAAGGGCAGGCAGGAAGCCTGCCTTAGCCCTGCTGCGCTGCCGGCAGCGGCCAGGGCCCCTGGGCAATTGTCCCCTTTGCTCCCCCTGTTGGTGGTCCTGTTGTGGGGCCCCCCTTAGCCCGAGGCTCTGGGCTGCAGCCCCTAAAACCCCTGCGTTAATCTGGCCCTGCCTCTCTAAGGGAGCCATTAACCGCCTCCTCTGGCTTCCACCAGACGTGAGGGGCAAGGACCAGTCTCCCAGACAGCTCCCCGCTCCACACAGGGCTGCGGGACGCGGACTAGGGCCTGCTCAGATCCTGCATCCTCCCCCTGGGTACCTGCCTCTCCCCGGCCCCAGGTCGCTTTCTGCCACTAGGCCAGGCTGTGGGGGCACAAAGCAGAGGGCACAAACCCACCCAACCCCGCCTAGGAAAGGCCTCGCCACTCTGGCATTGGGCTCCAGTCATCTGTGGCCACAAGGGGGCATGCTTGAGCTCTTGTGAAGGCTCCAGAGCCCGTGAGGTGGAGCCCCCACCAGCCTGACTGCACCTGAGAGTCTCCTGTCCCGCTTCCGCCCGACAGGGCCAGTGCATCCGGGGACCCCTACCCAGGGGCGCCTCCATTTCTCAGCAGCCTCTGACAGGAAGGGGGGAGCCCATCCTGCAGTGCCCTCACAG